GACTCAATCCCACGCGGCGCAGGTGACGACCCTCCCGCTTTAAATACAGTGTGTAATCAAATACATGTCGTGGTTTTCAGCGAAATAATGCGTAAAAGTGGGTCCCAAATAAACACTACCTATATGTGTGTAACATGTTGTGACGTCACAACCAACATATAATTCTCATTGGCACTTAACGTGTATGTATGATGAAATACATGACGTCACGATCACATCTGATTATAGAACGCGCATGCTCAGAACACATTTACTCAGGAATTTAGGGTTTATAAGTTAAAATATGTGCACTTTATTAAACACACAAGAAGGGTCTACGTAATCGTAAAAACTGAAAGTATAAAATATGCAACGAAGACCGACAAATAGTGTACTACATTTATGCATCTTTTTGAGTGACATGAATAACGATAGAATTCTGACATTTTGAATATACAACGTGGTGGCGTGAAGTTGCCCGATCTGTTCGACCGGTGATCACCATTTAATGACAATGTGCTCGAATAATGAAGAATAGACATTGAGAATATTATTATTTATATAGTTGAAAAGTTCGCTGTTTCCCCGCTGATAACATTTTACCCAAATTTAGTGTTATTTTGTTTTCTTAATATTCTTCGCCTTCTTCCTCGCCTTCGCCTTCAACAGAATCTACACCGACTTCCTCGTAATCCTTCTCCAAAGCCGCAAGATCTTCACGCGCCTCGGAGAACTCTCCTTCCTCCATACCTTCACCGACATACCAGTGGACGAAAGCACGCTTGGCGTACATCAAATCGAATTTATGATCAAGTCTGGCCCAAGCTTCTGCAATAGCGGTAGTGTTGCTCAGTAGACAAACAGCACGCTGCACTTTAGCCAAGTCTCCACCGGGAACAACGGTTGGTGGTTGGTAGTTGATACCAACTTTAAAGCCCGTTGGACACCAGTCGACGAACTGGATGGTACGTTTGGTCTTGATGGTAGCAATAGCAGCGTTGACGTCTTTGGGCACCACATCGCCCCGGTACAGCATACAGCAGGCCATGTACTTTCCGTGACGCGGGTCACATTTGACCATCTGGTTGGCAGGCTCGAAGCAGGCATTTGTGATTTCTGCTACTGTAAGTTGCTCGTGATAGGCTTTCTCGGCAGAAATCACAGGAGCGTAGGTAGCCAACGGGAAATGGATACGTGGATAAGGTACCAGATTGGTCTGAAATTCCGTCAAATCGACGTTGAGGGCGCCATCAAATCGCAGTGAAGCGGTGATGGAAGAGACGATTTGACCAATCAGACGGTTGAGATTGGTGTAGGTTGGACGTTCGATGTCCAAATTTCGACGACAAATATCGTAGATGGCCTCGTTGTCAACCATGAAGGCACAGTCGGAGTGCTCCAGGGTGGTATGGGTGGTCAGAATCGAATTGTATGGCTCTACTACAGCAGTTGCCACTTGCGGAGCTGGGTAGACAGCGAACTCTAACTTTGACTTCTTGCCATAGTCAACCGAGAGTCTTTCCATAAGGAGAGACGTGAAACCAGAACCAGTGCCACCACCGAAGCTGTGGAAGATCAAGAATCCTTGAAGACCTGTACATTGATCGGCCAGTTTTCGTATTCTATCTAAGACCAGGTCGACTATCTCTTTGCCAATTGTATAGTGACCTCGAGCATAGTTGTTAGCGGCGTCTTCCTTTCCAGTGATAAGTTCTTCAGGGTGAAATAATTGACGGTATGTACCAGTCCGTACTTCATCTGGAAAGACATAAACAATAGTACATATTTAATACGCAGGTAATCTTTTTAGGAGCGAGGCGAGATCACCAGTATCTTTGTTTTTCACTAAAAAACGTCTAACAGTAACGCGAGATTTTAGCTAGCCCCCACCCACGCGGCTGGGAGGGGCTTCGTAAATGCATCGGACAAGACTATAAACTCGACATAAATTTTCTTACCCACTACTGTCGGTTCCAGATCGACAAACACTGCACGTGGCACGTGTTTCCCAGCTCCAGTCTCACTGAAGAAAGTATTGAAAGAATCGTCGCCGCCGCCAATGGTCTTGTCACTTGGCATCTGGCCATCAGGTTGGATACCATGTTCCAGACAGTATAACTCCCAGCATGCATTGCCGATTTGGACGCCAGCCTGACCAATGTGTATTGATATGCATTCACGCTATAGGAGACAGAATAAAAAAAAAATCTTTCACGAAACAGCCGAATATATCATTGACGATTTATTGCTAAACTCTTATGGATGGATACAGTTATGAATACAAGAACATGTAGAATAGAATATTAACAACGAGAATTAGTTGTTGTCTTCCATGGCAACTGCTTTCATGACCTAAACAACCTGATCATTTCGGCATGGGGCGCTCAATAAAGACTGTGATTTATTGTGATCTTTTACTTCAAGATTTAAAAAGTGTGATTTTCAGTCGCATACATGTGGGCGTTCGCGGCAGTTAGTAACACGCTAATACTATTGTAGTGTTTGGGCGTGGTGGTGATGCCATTGGTCACTGATGGAAGGTGGCATTCGCGAAGAGTTCAAGTATCCTAACTTAAGTTTCAGCGCGCTCAAAGATTGAAAAGAGCGTGTCCCGTCTTTGTCATTCGCGTTCGGCTGAACATAAAGTTGTCTCACATTCTAAGACAGTCGAAGCTTGTAGCGACAAGTCCAATCGATATATGTTGTTGCTTGAAAGATTTTTACCCTTTAGAAAGTTGCTGATCCAAGACGATGCAAGTCAACATTGAGACGGGACGCCTACTTTGATTCAGGCGTTAGTCTGACGGTTAGCGGACCGGTTGTTACTGTAGACACACTCATGTTACCATTAAGATATTTGCGACGGCATTAACGGAACAAACAAGGGGATTATATCGTTATATGTCAATGATTTCAGTTTCACAAACTAACCGGAATCTTAGTTCACCCACACAGTTGTCCCTCGAATGTGTAATAACTTTTGGGTGGCGTCATTCTGAATTCTGTGTGCATGCAGTACATCCGATCGACCCCGATAAACCACCCCTCTAATATGATCACAGCGTAAAATTTCCGATAAAATAACATATCCGCAACGGGTAATATAAAGTGTATTTTAAAATAATTGAAACTATTTTTCTATGCCCGTTTGAAGCAGTACATTCTTTAACGCATGGGTATTGCAATAAAACGCCCTTGGGTTAAGTCATTCTTATATTTTCTATACTAGTATTTAACCAAGGCCATTAGCAAATTCAAACGAATTCACGATGGTAATGGGATTGGCTTCACATGTTATTTTTGCCTCTCGCTACGGCCAAGATATACATGATATTTGTTACCATAGTACCATAGTAGTATATATATTTTGAAAAAACGTCATCACTATCTGTTATTGTCAAAGTTTAGTTAAATAGACGCTCTCCTGGTATATCTTGTTAAAACAGAGTGCGATATTTCACTAGATCAGTCTGATTATCATCAACGCTGGCTAGATATATTATATTTTCCCTTCGCAATACACATATCACCACACCCGTTGCTATGGTGTTTATCATAAACTATTTATATCAAATTCACTCCCTCGAAATTGAATATTGACAGTAGCGTGGGTTGTACGTGTTTTTTTTCCGAAATGGGCGGAACAATTCAAATGTAGAAAATAATTGTTGTCGTAGTCGTCATCACACTATTGGTAGATCGACAAATTCATAAATCACTTACAGGGAACTATTCGGATGAATTCATCCTCGAGTCTCTGCTGAAATCCATGCAGTACGGAGCATTCGTTATGAGGTTCTGGACAACGAATAACCGAGGTTTCTGTACTAGTATTGCTTTACTTGGGACTTAGGAGACCCTTTGTTGGAACACCTTTTCTGATTTTAATCTACGCGTGTAACTCGGTAATACTGGACGGTATCATTTTTCTTCCGTTTTTTCATTCACAGATGATTTGAGATTTCATTCAACAAACAACCCGATACCCGGTCAACTTAGGTTGCCTTCACGGTTGTAGCTTCTATTAACCGGCTTTGTTTATTAGGTATCCAAAACTCGGCACTGCCAAATTGATTATTCGGTCTGGAAACAAATTCATCTTTGTGTCGGGGGAAACATTTATTATTTTTGTGCATGGCTACTGATTAAAAAGTTGTTTGGTTTCGTTACGGATAAATTGAAATACCGGATAGAAATGAAACCAAGTAGTTATCTTTAACGGTCATTTCTTATGGTTGACTTAAGAAAATAACCCCTATGATATGTTTGAACGTCGACGTTAATCAGCGCAAAGCGCGTTATCTTGACAACCACGCACCTTAGTCGGGATTATTCACCACTCTACTATGTTTAACTCTATAATAAAATCTGGTTTCATTAAAATCCTGCTAAGTACCTCTGATTAGTTTGCGGTTTAAAATTTAATGAGACTGAAATAAAGTGGCCCGCAGATGGTAGACGCATGATTGTCGCTTTGTAGTAAAAAACATTAAAACCGTCACGCATGAAATGCAGCACAGGTGAAACCATAGTTTCTAAGCATTTCTCTTACAATAGTTAGGTTGTTATGAAAACAATGAAAAATGATGTTTTTTTTTGTGTATATACGATGAGATTGCCGCAGGACTGTTGGTAAGTCTCTTTTTTCAGCCGTTACCCGAAGTGAGCTCGCACTTTTTGTTAGGTAAGTTTTTGGGTACCCAAAAACATGAACACAATCTTTGAAAGAAATATAATGCAAAACCCCGAGTTAAGTACAGAAATTTGACTCCTTGTGGTGCTCTTTTGAAAACTGGACAAACCACCACGACCTCGTCACTACCAGTACTGATACAAATAATCGTTGATATAGTCGCCGAAAACATATTCAATATTTTCAAAAGTGAAGATTGTGTACTTAGCAAAAAAGTCATGTTTTTAACCCGATCAATGACGTCGACGAAACGACGCTTTGTCTTCTTGTCTGTTGAACATTTTCCCGGTGAAACGGCCATCGTTTTAATTTTAAATGCTATTGTGACAGATCGGAAACCACATTAGTTTGAAAAGTGCCAATTTTTTAAGAATGATCCCGGTAACATAGTGGCAAAGATTGACTCTCTTACAACATATGTACTTACCATTTTGAAGAAGGGATTGCTAGATTCTTGTGAAAAACGTCAATAAAAGAAACAAATAATATCTTGTTAGTTTCTCAGTGTCTAAAAAATGGGTTGCCTCGACGACGCTCACGAGTGGACTGCGACGAGTCTGGGTGAGTGCAGAAATTGAAATACACCTGATGCGACTGCGCTTATATACGCTGCTAGTCGTTGCCATAGTGACTAATTAGGTAAACAATTGGACAAATACATGTACGGAATGCCGTTGGGGTTACGCTCCGATAGTAAGCAAGTTTCTGAGTCTGTTATGATAATTCCATAGAGTTCTGGCTGAAGGATTCGATGTCAACGCGCTAAACATAGCGGAACCGACCCGCTAACGTCACAAACACAGCTCGAAACATTGGTTCCACGGGCACTGATGCCCAAGCAGAAACCCTTGAACCACAGTAAAAAGGCTTTTCATTTTTTCCGTCTCGTATCAGACTTGTCTGTATCACTTTTCCGATTGCAGGTATAAAACACCACGACACGTCATTCTCTGTGTCTACGCAAGATATCCTACCTCCCGGCTATTCACTGGAAACCCGCACCTAATTGTATCTGAACAAAGATTCGATACTTTTTTGGATGATACCCATACTATCCAATTTTAACAATTGACGCAACTTTCATACGTTGGTGGACTTTAAAACAACTTTTAAAAATCAAATATCTAATGTAAATTACAAATCCCACGAATACTACATACAGATATTTAATTCTGATTAAAAATATTGTTAAATCTAACTCGGTGGTCTTAGTTTACGTCAACAGGGTCTCATTACTTTTTCTTTCATCAGTCTTTACCGATACACAACAAAGACTTGAAAAAAAAGGTTCAAATTTCTTGCTGACCCATGGTCAACAATTAACAAAATCGTTAAAATTCGCATCAAAATCTCGCCTGTGCTGTTCAAGTCGCTGCAGATTCATTACACAGATTTTTGAAGATAATAAATAAAGTTACTTGTTTAACTATTTCCACTCGCCATTATTAGATAATGGTATACACAGTAGTGGATGACAGTATGGGTTTATTTGGTAACAATGTGGAATGGTAGTAAATTAAATGTGTTTATTTTCTGCACTAATCATTATTATTTTCTAATTATGCGTTTTTCTCTTTTCCTGAATTTCTTCTGTTGTTGAAAGATCATTGGGTGGAGGTGTCGCAAACGTTTGAAGCCGCTGCTCGAGGTGACTGACATGTTTGTACCGATGTCGTTAGGGTCAGAACCCTGTTGTTAGGATATCATCAAGTTACCCACGGTGCCTGACAACCCGAGGTCTTGTGTTTTGGGGACAACATATATCTGACTAATCACGCATGTTTAGTAAAGAGAGTCGTTTTCAGCCGTTGCCCCGAAACCTAATCAGTCAAGTTCAAAAAGTAATGTTAGAACGAAACAGAATTACTGGTGTTAAAATCAGCGTGTGCAGTATGCAGAAGGGAGGCACGAAGCGTCCCGGCGAAGCGTGTACTTACTGTACTCCGATTAGAACTGCCGGACTAAACTGTCGTTCACACATTCAAGACAAAGCATTAATTCAGAGAATTGAAAACCCCACAAGGACAGTCCACCGTTATATTGAAAATGAATGATTCACGTGATACAATCAACAGTTACTTTTCGCGACTACATGTACAAACAATGTTCAACTTGTATAGCTGGTCACCAACACCGCTGGCTATCTAGCATCACTAATGTCAAACACACACGTATCTTGTAGTGTAAAGTCAATCCACGAAATAGAATGAAAATTGCTGAGTTATTTATCGTACGTATTTATTCAGTAGGTAACATTTTTTTGTGATCTACTCTATCGAAGATCCCTTCTTCTTCTCAACAAATAAAAAAAAAAAAAACCACGATGTCGTTTTGAAGTCATTTAGGTGTGTTGTGAGCTTATGGCTGGAACTTTTTGAGTATTCGCCGAATCGGGAACAGGGGTGAAACATTGTGAATATGCGCGAGTTGGAATACGAATTCAAATGGATTAGCAAATTAATTTGGGCATATACCTTAGAAAT